TATGTCCTGGCTGGTGTAAATGGACAGTGCCAGCTCAGCAGTGCTGAGCTCACCTTTATGAACCAGGCTCTTGCCTGTGGGATTTAGCCACAGGGCAACACTACTGGTATCTGGATTTGCATATAAAAACCTTTCTCAGTCAGTTACTTGTGAATCTTTAGAAACAGCTTGTTTGTTGCCAGAGGGAGAACTGATGAGGTAGGATGCCAGGCACAGAGTATTTATTCTGACTTTTGGAAGGATTTGCAAGCCAAGTTGAATTTCCTGCACACCTGACACTGGACAACCCCAGGTGCATTTAGAATACGTGACCTGCAGGATAGGTGAATTCAAACGCTCTAGTTCTGAGAGGATTTAAGTATTTCTGATTGTCCCAGGCAACTTGAAGGTGTGTGAGCAGTTCACAGACAAGGGCTGACCTTGACACACATTACAGATAAATAGGTGTGTGAGCAGAAGACTGGGCTTGGTCAGTGAGCAGGCAGGTAAGTGCTAGGGAAGATAAGCATAGCTTTAAATTAATGGAAGTATAAAATCATATTGCCCATGGTTGAGTTTACTTTGCTGCTTATTCAGGAATTACAAATAATCACTATCGCAGTGTTAAAATTTACAGTCTGTAAGAGATGGAAGTGTAAAATACGTATCTTAAAGAAATTAATTTCTACTTTCCCAGAAATTCCCAGTCCTGCACAAACAGCACAGCCACCAGAAACAGCTGCAGACACTAAGTAAGTATAGTTTTAAATTCTTTTATTTATGTGGTCTTCACCCAATGATCTTCCTGTCTGTCTGAAAGTGCTATGCTATGGCCAAAACCAAACTTGTCATCTGAGAACTCACAGGATAATTTCAGTAATGTCATAATACTGGAGCCATGCCACCACCAAATCGATTCCTGCCAGTCACTGAAAAAATCACTTCAAAGTCTTTGTCCATCATCTGCTAAAATAAGCTTAGAAAGTCCTTCTCTGTTAAGCGGAGCAGTAATCATATTTTTCTGTGACCTGCTGTAACGCAGTCGAGATCTGCTCTCTATGTGCTTCTTTTCACTAAGGGCAGATGCAGCAGCCCACTTTTCTAACTCAGGCGGACATGCAAACGTTATTTTCACTGTGAACCTGTCTTCTCTTGTTAGTGCTCATCAACAGCCAGACACAGACGGAGTTGAAGGTGAAGCAGAGGTAGGTTTTTGCTTGGCCCGTTCCATGCCCGTTCGGAGATGCCACGTTGAAAGTGTGATGAAAATGTCGTCGCCCTGGAATTATGAGCGCAGACTAGCTGTGCCCTGCTTCGGTTCCACTGCTCTGCTTGTACTGCAGAGAACTGAAAATTCATGGTTTCTCTAGCTAGGCTGAAACAATTAAGCACTTGTAATCTTGGCTAAGAAGATGTTTTTCAAACTTCTGGCTCGCTGTTTGGTGCAGCCATTTTTATATTATGAGAGCAGCAGGCCTGCTGCCAGAGTTACGAAGTCTAAACGCTCTGCAGACCTCAAGTCTGCAGGTAATGCCTGTGTAGGTACCACCAGCGGTCGGATTAGCTCATAGTAGATCCTGCAAAGCCAAGGCTGTAAGCGTGGGCTGTGTTTTGCATGGGAAAGGCTTTCCATCCCTGTTCGCAAGTCCGTGATTTGGGTAGTGCCTAAGCACTTGTGGTGTGAACGCCAAAATGAGTTTCTTTGGTGATGATGCCCCTCAGCTGTATTTCCCTTCTCTTCTTGTGAGCAGGTGGAAGAGCCGGAGACTAATAAATCAGAACCTGAGGATGATGAGGATGAGGTGGAAGATTTGCCGAACAGACGGCCACACCTGCAAGGGATGATTTATCGCAAACCCAGCCAGACGAGCGTCTACCTGCAAGAATGGGACATTCCCTTTGAACAGATTGAACTGGGGGATCCTATCGGCCAAGGCCGGTGGGGGAAGGTGTACAAGGGCAAGTGGCACGGGGAGGTGGCCATCAGGCTGCTGGAGATCGATGGCAACAATCAGGATCATCTCAAGCTCTTTAAAAAGGAGGTGATGAACTACAGACAGACCCGGCATGAGAATGTGGTCCTGTTCATGGGAGCGTGCATGAACCCTCCTCACTTAGCAATCATTACCAGGTAAGGATATAGCATCTTGTACTATTTTTAATATATATATTAAATAGATAATATTTTTTATATATATATA